TGTCAAGATGTAAGCCCCCTCTTAATCTTAGTGGGTTATAAGTCTTCAGGTAGTGACCACAAAATAGTGATGTGTGCTCTGCCACTTAGACTGAGTAGCAATGCAGCTCATACCTACACTTCACAACAAGTAATATATAGCAACTACAGTAAAGCAGACTGGACCTTAGTAGAATCAGTGCTAAGATCCTCCGAATGGGTTGAATACTTCACTACTGATGACCTCTCGAGAGCTCTGAGCGTCTTCTACCATAACTCAAACACATGCTTAGATGCTGCCATTCCACTCCAAACACTTAAGCTTTCCCCACATAGAAAGTCATTCATAAAACCAAAGGATCGTATGAAACTGAAGAGACTCTCAACAAGCTACTTCAAACACCATGACTTTGGCACAGTAGGTTTAATACTTAACACTCTCAGGTCCATCTCACAAGCTTGAGATTTCCGTATGAGAAACGAAGAAGGCACCGCAATAGTCATTCCTGATAGAGTGTATGCACTCACAGAAATCTTAAAGAAGCGAATGAATCGCTAAAATCACAATATTTCTCTCCTCATAGACAAAGGTGGGCATTCCACTAATTCTGCAGACATGTGTGAATTATTCAACAAAACTTTTGCAGGTAACTACCTTAAGCCCACAGTCCAGTTACTCGGTATACATCCTACTACTTATATGGTACAAACTCCATCTCCACGCACACCAAACCAGATTAGTACTGTTGAATTTACTTATGCTAACATTAATCATGCTATAAGAACCCTCAAAACCTCAAAAGGTTTTGTTACTGACGGCATATCATCCTTTTTTATAAATATGGTGGCCCTGACATTCCCTTACTACTGCTTAAAATTTTCACAATGTCCCTAGAAACTCAAACTTACCCTGATATATGGAAAACAACATCTGTTATCTCTAAGCACAAATCTGGCTCGAGAACAGAAGTCAGTAACTACAGGCCTATCAATATCACACCTATCGCATCTAAAATTATGGAGAGATTAGTTAAAGATAATCTAATCAATCATATGCTTAGCTACAACATTATAAGTCCGAACCAACATGGATTCCTAAAATCCAGATCTTGTTTAACATGCCACCTAGACTTCTTCAATTTTGTGACCAGCAATCGTGACACACTGCAACTAGTACTTGTCATCTACTTTGACATTTCTACGGCATTTGACCGTGGAGACCACTTACTACTAATACATAAACTGAAACCCTTAGGAATACGTGACCCATTATTAAGATGGCTTAAATCATTCCTTAGCAACAGGTCCCAAATAGCTAAACTCGGGTCTGTAACTTCGAAACCTAGCCCAATCACTTCTGGTGTGGTACAAGGTAGTATCATTGGACCCCTTCTATTTACTCTATACATTAACGACATATGCGCTTGCCTCTCGCATGGGAAACCATTCATCTTTGCAGATGACCTAAAAGTAGCTTACACATTCCAATGTGATGACCTACGGTGCTTTGAGAATGTTGTGCAGAAAGAACTAGATAAAGTGACTGCTTGGTCGTCTTTATGGAATCTACAATTTAACCTGAACAAAAGTGGCTGGATCTGCTTCGGCGCACCCTCAATCGACATGAAATTAACCTAACCAGATTACGAAGTATCGTTGACTTAGGCCTCAGGTATTCTAGTGACCTGACATTCTCTGAGCAAGTGGCATCACAGACTCAAAAGTCGAGGATGTTCTTAGGATGCATACTCAGGAACTTTTACAACAATGAAGCAAAGCTAATCCTGTATAAAACACATACAAGACCACTACGAGAGTACTGTCCATTTATTATAAGCAGCACTCGCACACGTGACAAGCTAAGCATGGAAAGTATCCAACGATATTTTTCCTCCAAACTACTTGGCTTCGATTGTACGAAAGACTACATCTCACGCTGCATGATCCTACAACTTTACCCACTTTGGACAAGTCGACTTATTATAAACCTAATATTCTTCTTTTAGGTCCTTCACGAAATATCATTCTCAGACAGTAAGGACATACAATTCGCACAGGAAGGTTCTCACGATCTGCGTAACCAAACTTGCACAGTGACAATAAAAGCCTTTAAGTCAACACTCCGCGACAACTTCTTCACAGTCATGTATTCTAAAATATGGAATAGCCTACCCCTAGATGTCAGGGCTTGCTCTTCAGTTGTAAGTTTCAAACGCTCTCTGTACAGACTATTTCACTCTACTGATTATATAAATAAACTATTTATTCCTAGAACGAATCAACTATTAGTCTACTACAATACCTAAACAACACGATTAAATACCTTTACTTCTCTAAAGACTATAAATAAACTAGTAGCAGGCTTAGTAGAAATAAATATTTGTTCATCAAATTACAATGTACAACGAATATAAACATATGTGTCCCACTCCACATACTTTTTCTCTGCCCTCTGGTACTTTGTTGCTCGCCTCTTCTGTTGTATTTGCCTTGTAGTAGAAGTTGCACAGATATACATCCAGACTGAAGCTGAGAAACAATTGAAGTCACTTACTCATATATCATCCCTCAAGGTTTGGCTAGTAATGGCTCAGCATCCTTGATGAAATCCACTGTCACCATAACAAGACGCTGTACAGCATCTTATACAAGCACTGTCAATGATCTAAAATGGCTTGCATACAGCTTTCTGCGTGTTAATCAACTTGCTCGTACGGAACAGCCATGCAGTGACAAATGGAGGGCTCCGGCTGACTTGGGTGTAGTAAAACAAATCTGCTTGACAATGACCAATATTAATCTGCATTCAGTTGGATTCACATCTGGTATTATTTGCAATAAAAATGATGTCAAAATCATACAAATAAATCACTCATTTTAAATTAATACCCAATTTGAACATAAAACAAGATACGATGCCGCATACAACAAAGTTATATGGAGGAATTGACTTCAAGCTTTATTTTTTCCCCAAATATTTGTAATTTATCCGACACATACTTGGGCTTTTTTGTTAATGCGAAGACAATATTTCTATATTTCTTTAGGTGCTCCACTGAACGACTAGATATCAGAATGTACTCACTAACTGATGTCAGAGGAAATCGGAAGATATCAAAATCTAATCTTTGGCGAATTAATTAAAGACCACAAGAGATATTTAAGACAAGCTGATCCAGCTTTGGACATTTATGCTCAATGACAGGCGAATTTAAATTCTAGGCAAGTTAGACATTACAATCTGAAAGCTTGCCTATGCTAAAACACTTTTAACTTTGGTGTGCCTAGAAATCTATCCCTACGGAACACTATATGTCAGTCACTAAAGGTGGCTGCAACATTGATGTTCAAAGGAGTCACTGAATATACGCGTTAAATATGAGTGTTTATGAATAAGCGGAAAGACAAATAGCTACAAATTACTGTATGTGTAAAAAAGTAGAAATATTAGAAGACAGTACCTGATCATTTGGAAAGAGAAATAGGTTTGAGGTAGTCATCATTCTGTTCCCACCAGTTTGGTAACTGAATTCCCAAACAGACTTTACCGAAAATTTACGAGTGTCACATGTCAAGAGAATGGAGGGCAGTCTTAATTATGAACATGTTTACGTTAGCTGGCAAGCAAGGCAGGGAAGCGGAGTCGAAAAGACAGAATAATTCACTGTCCAGAAACTTCCCACGGGGAATAGAAACCTTGCAAAGAAATAAGTAGCCCATCCACCTTAACTCCGGGGTAAACTTCAGTAATTATTTGTCACCCGATCTCCTTCACTGAAATACAGGGCATTTTCAGTGATATAAAGCTGAAAAATCCTTCGTTCACATTTTAACAGATGACTAACATCCCGTAAGATATTCAACGTTATACCAATTCCTCGAATTTTACCTTTCATAGTTTTGGAGAGGATTTGGTTGGTGTCTCCTAGAATAAACTGGAGAATATACAAAAACAACAAATGCTTTCACCAGAGGTCAGAAAACGTATTAGGGATGCCCAGACCCTCTAAAAATTTAGACTGTCGTTTCCTACCACTACAGGTATTCTTAACGAAGAATGACCTTTAGGGTGACATGAATGCTTTAATTCGTTTCCTCCTTAGTGCTAAGAAAGAAGTGACCAATCCAAGAGTCATCAAGGAGAAGGTGATCGAAAATACAACCAACCGCTTTATGTACGGAGACTCAAGAGATCAGCTTCATAAAAACTCCCCTAAAATAGATTACGCTTAAAAATTTCCTGGTGTTCCATCCTTCAGACCATTTTCCATAGGTTCAAAGCTCACATAGAGAATGTCATGGTTCTGAAAGGCTGTGAATAAATTGATTGCACCCACAAACTGCACAGGTTATGGTGCATGTATGCAATTGTGAAGACTCCAACAACTTCTCTACTCAAAAGTCTTCACCACGACTGTTGAAATATTCGAAAAATATTAGACCCAGGTTGCCATCAGAAGAAGCACCGTTAGAGATGTTCTTAATATGGTAAACACTAAAGCTGAAGTCGTCAATTACTTCAGTAACAATCTCTATGGCATTTTTCACATTTTCGCTGGAAAATGCTCTGGTTTGCACCTTATTGACAAAGCGTATGTCTAATATTTCTGATGCCGCAAATACATATTTATCTTCTTTACCACTTGTTTTCCCCCCTTTAGTCATACCAGTTTTTATACGCGTCTTTACGAAACTAGTGAAAGTCATCAATATGCAAAATCCTCTCTTCTATGACCTGCTTTGATTACCTTCAGACAAAATCTAATATTTAAAAGCTTTCGTCACCGTAAAGCTTCCCCATATGCTTAATTTACACACAAGAAGTGTTCATCTCCCAGAAAGTAGCAGTTATACAAGTGTCTTACTTAATGAGTGAAAGTGTGCAGCTGAAAAATTAAAAGTTCCGTAAGACAAAAACGCTTGGCGTTCAAAAAATAACAGATAATTTATGAAGCCGGAAACTATTGGGTTTGTCTGTCAAATAAAGCGTTTTCGAAGGGTATGTTCTCCTTTGTTTGAATAACCTAAGATATGTTGATATCGATTGGTCCCAGAAACGGTGAACAGTTTGATTGTACACATATGGTGGGTTAATCTTACATTTATTCTTAATTATGGAAGTCATTAGCAACCAAAAGGCCGTCACAGCAGCCTTTGGGAAAGAAGAAAGGTGACGGCACTGGGAGAGCGGTGAAACATGAACTTACAGAAGACCAAAAGCAGGAAATTCGAGAAGCATTTGACCTTTTTGACACTGATAAATCAGGAACGATAGATATCAAAGAGTTGAAAGTCGCTATGCGTGCACTCGGCTTTGAACCAAAGAAGGAAGAAGTAAGAAAGCTTTTGTCTGAATTCGAGTGTGATAATAAAGGTACGTACCTTTAATTAGTACATATATCTCTATTCTGTCTGTAGACTCGATTGAATTTTCAGATTTTTTGAAAATGATGTCTTTGAAAATGCAAGACAAAGATGCAAAAGAGGAAATGCTAAAGGCCTTCCGACTATTCGATGATGACGAAACCGGCAAAATATCTTTCAAGAACCTTAAGCGTGTAGCGAAAGAATTAGGAGAGAATCTCACGGATGAAGAATTACAGGTAAGTAGTACGAAAAAAGTGACACAAAGTTTAGGAAATGATTGATGAAGCTGATCGTGATGGTGATGGTGAAGTTAACGAGCAAGAATTTCTTCGGATTATGAAAAAGACAAGTCTATATTAAGTTCACTTTCTACTGCTGTGTATATACGGTTATTTCCATAATATATTTTTATTGAACCACTTACTGTTATCTCTGCTTCTGGTCCAAAATACAGTGTTACGATAAACTAAATAAGGGGTCTTAGGTTTTTGTTCTGCTTCACATAAATGATCTGTGGGTGAGTAGGCGTGGTAGTTAGTCATTCTTAATGTATGCTTATCATTTTTTATCCCTTTACTCTACCAATTTTTTTGGTTGGTAGTGCGAACAATGATCTCATCTTCTCATGATCCCAAGATCTGATCATTTCTTTTTAAAAAAATTCACTTGCAACATTACAGCCTTTTAGGGGGCTGCGGGTATCGACGTTCGCGAGTTGTACGGATTATACTAACGCAAGATCTTATACCAACAACCACTATAGTGTTCGTTCTTCGAGTACCAAATGGTAAAGCAAAAGACCAGATTTTGTCGTCCAAATACGATATATATTTTGGGACCAAATCGCGGGTAGGAATGAATGCTTAGCTAGCTAGTAATCGTGCACGCACGTGACACGACGGAGCACCAAATGGCGGGGATGCTTGACCGTAAGCCTTCAGCTAAACAAGTCGACTTAAACAGTGATGGTCAGCATCCAATGTTGAGTGATGATTGCTGTGGTTAATAATTTTGGGGAATTATTTACCGCTACAGCTCACTCCCCCCCCTAGTGGGGTTGTGAGGACCCTAAGACATGACCAGCCGGAAGTAAAAAAATCTCGATGGTTCCCTGATGGGTGAAAAAAAATCTTCCGAGCGGCTTGATCGAGAGCCTGCTGGTCTGTCTGCCTATGCTAATAGGGTGTCTGCACATAGCTTCCTCGATATTGTTCGTTGGATCCCGTGCTTCGTTTGTTTCCTGTCCAGTGCCCGTTGCACCTGGAAAAGAAAACAAGAATGCTGAGAACCTTGTCAAGAAAAAAGTTGCCAAATAAGCGTTTTTTTACCAAAAAAATATGACATGCATCTACTATACAGTAAAATAATGTAAAGTGCAAAATATCGGGAAAAAAATATACATCTAATTTAATTTAATGTACGGTTATAGGAAAAATATCATTTACTTGTGTTAAATGACGCAACATAAAAAAAATTGATGTGTCACTCAGTTATGTGAAATAGGTGTGAAGGTATTCTGGGAATCTAACGTGACGTCCAGAACGCGTTTTTTTAGAGTGATCGACCGAAGTAGCCAGTGGGCGAATGCCCTGACAGTCAATAGTGTGACCCCGAAAATCGAGTGAGTCAACGCCTATTTGACACTTCTGTATATTGATGGTAACACCATGTTGGCGTAACCTTTCAAATGCCAATTCCAAGTGTCTAAGGTGAGTTTCCTTATCTGGACTGGCAATGAGGCAGTCGTCTAAGTATGCGTATACAAAGTCGAGACCGCGAAATACTTCGTTGATGAAGCGTTGGAATGTTTGGGCCGCATTCCGGAGGCCGAATGGCATACGTAGGAATTCAAAAAGTCCGAAAGGCGTGATGATAGCCGTTTTCGGAATATCTTCCGTTGCCATGGGGATTTGGTTATAAGCTTTAACCAAGTCGATTTTGGAGAATATAGATGCTCCAGATAACGTTGCCGTCAAGTCGTGTATGTGAGGCAATGGGTAGCAATCGGGGGTAGTTTTGGCGTTCACTCGCCGGTAATCACCAGTGGGTCGCCAATCGTTGCTATCCTTTTTCGGTACCATATGCAACGGGGATGCCCATGGACTATTCGATGGTCGAATGATGCCAAGGGTGAGCATATGATCGAATTCGTTTCTGGCAATTCTCAGTTTATCAGGGGCCAGTCGTCGTGCTTTAGATGTCACGGGCTGTCCTGAGGTTATGATGTGGTGCATAACATTGCTGGTTATACACGGGAGGTCGTTAGATGGGCAATTCAGTTCCGGATATTTATCAACAATCGGTTGAAAAGTTGGATCGAGGATTGCTTTCATCTTAACGATTGACAAGCTGGGGCCTACGTAAGTTATGCCTTTGATAGACAAACTAGTAGTGTTGTCAATTAGTCGTTTACGGCGGACGTCTACGAGCAAATCATGATGATTAAGTAGGTCCGTGCCAATGATGGGCATTGTGACGTCAGCGATTAGGAAAATCCACTGAATAGGTTTGCGTAAACCTACGTTCAGATAGACGTATTTCCGACCATAGGTTGCAATTGGTTTTCCATTTGCAGCCTGTAGGTTGAAGTTAGGATCCTTCTGTCGATCTGCTGCTGTAGCAGGAAGGACGCTGACTTCGGCGCCTGTGTCGACTAGATATCTAGTCTGGCTCATTACATCATGGATGTAAAGTAAGCGGCTAGTGCCACCGGCGACGGTTGCCGCTAACGCGTGCCGGCGGGATAGTTTCCCACAGACTTGGAGGCTTTGCCGAAATCACAAGGTTTTCGACAACATTTCGCTTCCTTGCCATAGGTGTTGTGATACCAACACCAGTCAGGATTTTTGACAGAACGTGTGTTGGACTTAGATCGTCCACGTGCGTTTTGCCGTTGAGGGGATCTAGAACGACGGTTTGAGGAATTACTAGGCTTGTTTGACCTAAGCATCTGCTGGACGGAGTTGATTAACTCTATCATTGCAGAATCCTTCTTCGAAGTCTGTTCGGTAACAGAGTATACTTCGGTGACTGGCCGTTTCGTTATCTCTAGAATTCTATCTGCAGAGACAGCTAAATCATCTATGAGAACACCCTGAAGTGTCACAAGTACAGTCTGAACTGACTGTGGCAGTTTGGATAAAAATAGTTCTCTAAACAGTCCTTCATCGAACTGACTTTGGCCAATGATCTCTTTCATTCTTGCCAGCATGCTCACGGCTGACTGATCTCCTAACTCGATGTTACGAAATAACTCATCCAGACGTTGCCGATCTGTGAGAACGTTTCTCTTGAGGATGGATGCTTTTAGCAACTCGTACGAGTTACTTACCGACATCTGCAGAGTTACGCACTTGCTGAATTCCCGCGGTAGGGCGTGAATAACTGCAAGGAACTGTGAACGTTGATCAGTTATGCCATGTTCACAAAAATCGGACTCAGCAATCTGAAACCACGTTTCAGCATTATCTGGCCAAAATGGTACTAGCTGAATTGTTTTGGCGGTTGAGCGAATCTGAATAACCTTGGGGCTAGGATCACTCATGACGAAAAGTATGCCGATAACAATATAGTACAAGAATAAACACAAAAAGGAACGAACTCACCGGGTTTATCTGCGTGTGAATTGAAGATGTAGTTCGTGGTTGGGCTCACCAGTTTAGGTGGGCTGTAGGTATCGACGTTCGCGAGTTGTACGGATTATACTAACGCAAGATCTTATACCAACAACCACTATAGTGTTCGTTCTTCGAGTACCAAATGGTAAAGCAAAAGACCAGATTTTGTCGTCCAAATACGATATATATTTTGGGACCAAATCGCGGGTAGGAATGAATGCTTAGCTAGCTAGTAATCGTGCACGCACGTGACACGACGGAGCACCAAATGGCGGGGATGCTTGACCGTAAGCCTTCAGCTAAACAAGTCGACTTAAACAGTGATGGTCAGCATCCAATGTTGAGTGATGATTGCTGTGGTTAATAATTTTGGGGAATTATTTACCGCTACAGCTCACTCCCCCCCTAGTGGGGTTGTGAGGACCCTAAGACATGACCAGCCGGAAGTAAAAAAATCTCGATGGTTCCCTGATGGGTGAAAAAAATCTTCCGAGCGGCTTGATCGAGAGCCTGCTGGTCTGTCTGCCTATGCTAATAGGGTGTCTGCACATAGCTTCCTCGATATTGTTCGTTGGATCCCGTGCTTCGTTTGTTTCCTGTCCAGTGCCCGTTGCACCTGGAAAAGAAAACAAGAATGCTGAGAACCTTGTCAAGAAAAAAGTTGCCAAATAAGCGTTTTTTTACCAAAAAAATATGACATGCATCTACTATACAGTAAAATAATGTAAAGTGCAAAATATCGGGAAAAAAATATACATCTAATTTAATTTAATGTACGGTTATAGGAAAAATATCATTTACTTGTGTTAAATGACGCAACATAAAAAAAATTGATGTGTCACTCAGTTATGTGAAATAGGTGTGAAGGTATTCTGGGAATCTAACGTGACGTCCAGAACGCGTTTTTTTAGAGTGATCGACCGAAGTAGCCAGTGGGCGAATGCCCTGACAGTCAATAGTGTGACCCCGAAAATCGAGTGAGTCAACGCCTATTTGACACTTCTGTATATTGATGGTAACACCATGTTGGCGTAACCTTTCAAATGCCAATTCCAAGTGTCTAAGGTGAGTTTCCTTATCTGGACCGGCAATGAGGCAGTCGTCTAAGTATGCGTATACAAAGTCGAGACCGCGAAATACTTCGTTGATGAAGCTTTCCCCACATAGAATGTCATTCATAAAACCAAAGGATCGTATGAAACTGAAGAGACTCTCAACAAGCTACTTCAAACACCATGACTTTGGCACAGTAGGTTTAATACTTAACACTCTCAGGTCCATCTCACAAGCTTGAGATTTCCGTATGAGAAACGAAGAAGGCACCGCAATAGTCATTCCTGATAGAGTGTATGCACTCACAGAAATCTTAAAGAAGCGAATGAATCGCTAAAATCACAATATTTCTCTCCTCATAGACAAAGGTGGGCATTCCACTAATTCTGCAGACATGTGTGAATTATTCAACAAAACTTTTGCAGGTAACTACCTTAAGCCCACAGTCCAGTTACTCGGTATACATCCTACTACTTATATGGTACAAACTCCATCTCCACGCACACCAAACCAGATTAGTACTGTTGAATTTACTTATGCTAACATTAATCATGCTATAAGAACCCTCAAAACCTCAAAAGGTTTTGTTACTGACGGCATATCATCCTATTTTTATAAATATGGTGGCCCTGACATTCCCTTACTACTGCTTAAAATTTTCACAATGTCCCTAGAAACTCAAACTTACCCTGATATATGGAAAACAACATCTGTTATCTCTAAGCACAAATCTGGCTCGAGAACAGAAGTCAGTAACTACAGGCCTATCAATATCACACCTATCGCATCT